TCAAGAAACGTTGACTGCGTGATGCAATCGGGCTACAGGTTTTTGAGGAGGTAGGAGAAAAGTCAGAAAAAGTTGACCGTGGGATGCAATTGTGTGTTTTGGATAGGCATGTACCATTAGGAAAATATGACCGCGGGATGCAATAGGACTGTGCTTTTCTGGGAAGGTATGCAAGAGATTAATAAAGGTTGACCGCGGGATGCAATCGGGTTATGTGTTTTTGGATAGGTATGTAAGAGGGTTAGGAAAAGTTGACCGCGTTATGCAATCGATATACGTCCGAGGAGGCGGAAAAGAGGCGAGGACGGCCTCGAGGACGGGTCGCCTTGGCGCGAGGACTGAGCGGCACGTGGCGGTGCGGAGGACGGGCCTGCGAGGACGCCGTGTGCGGCCGGACTGGCCCGGGGTCGTGCTCCAGCGCGACGCAACCCGAGCGTACTCCGGCTGAAAGCACGTGCTGCGGCGAAGCCGAGAAGACAGAGCCCGCGGGCGCGCTTCAAATAAACCAACACAACGAGCGGGGTACAGTCCGGCCCACGCCGCGGTGGCACCCGGGCCTGCCGTACCGCACCGCTTCGCTTGGCAATCACTTTGCAACGCTTCGCGTCACTTTGCACCGCTTCGCTTTGATTCGCGTCGCTTCGCATTACATCGCACTACTTCGCATTACATCGCACCGCTTCGCACTGCTTCGCATTACATCGCACCGCTTCGCACTGCTTCGCATTACATCGCACTGCTTCGCAGTACATCGCACTGCTTCGCAGTACATCGCACTGCTTCGCAGTACATCGCACCGCTTCGCAGTACATCGCACCGCTTCGCGTCGCTTCATAACATCTTATAATGCTTTACACCGCTATCTTCTTTTCTCACACACATTGCGATTTACAAGGAATGGCAAGAACGTATTGAGAAGTTTCGAGATGTGATGTTCGATTTGATGAAAAGTAAAAATGTACTGTTCAAAGAAAGTGTTTGATTGTTTTTATGAATTTTGAGGATATCAGTGTTCTACAATAATAAGATCGCACCTACAATAATAGACAATCACTGAGTGGTTTTATAAAAGAACGTACCTGGGAGTTTGTATGTGGTATAGCGCATTGCCCAGGGTCGGATTAATATTTTAGGAAGTTTTAAGCGTGGCCAAACTATGAGATTCCTTAATAGTATAATATAAATATGACAAAATTAATATGAATATAATATTTACACATGTATTAATATTTTATGTATGATTATTTAACAACATAAAATTAGTATTTTAATAATTATTGGCGGTATACATTATCCATTCTCTTGTCAGCCATCTCTCTGATAAAGGGCATTCACTGTTGGTGAAATTCAGTACTAAAAGAAATTAGACGTGAAAGTAGTTCTTGAAGCAGGTGTCAAGTATGCGTTTTCGTTGTGATGGCTTTTTAGCGAATTTCCCATGGTCCCAACGGCGGTTATGAACCTGCCGTGGCTGTACGAAATCGCATCTCAAGCAATAAGCGCCATTCTAGGTATCGTTAAAACTCTTTCTCAATGAAATCAAATATTATTACTTATAACAAAAAAAAGGTTGTGTTAGAAATTTTGCGAAGTCTACCTTGCAACACATCGAGATAGTGCATAACCGTATTATGGGCCATTGGTGATGAATATGCTGCTACCTCTAATTTCTTCGCCATTATTGCACAAAATAATAAACAACTTGATTTCTATTGTGTGTCTACAATGTCTCTATTTTCTGTTTTGAACTCGGTTCTAAAATTCTATTCTATAACAATATTTTCTTGGCCTCAATGGTAGTCATACCTCAAGCTAGTCATGCAATTATAATTTTATTAACAAAATTTTTTATATATTCGCAGATTTACATAAAGCTATTAAGTTTTTTATAAATAATTTGCAATTTTTTTGGGAAAACGATTAGGATGTAAATAATTCTTCTTAGAACGTAGTAAATTTTATATCTTTGAAACGCAGAAAAAGATGTTTCGAATTATTTTTCTCGAACATGAAAGATGTTTTAAAAAGATCGCCATTCTGATGTAATGCAGGCCAAAGTAATGTACAAAAGTAATGTACTGAACTTCTGCAACTCTTATTGTTATTCGTAGCCGTATTGAGGCAAATATTTACGAAGATTGAACCGTTTCTGTATCATCATATGTGCAGCACTTTCATTGTTCATGTTTCACGGATATGTTCCATCCCTATAAAATGTACAAACACAAAATATTTCCGAACATCTTGATTCAGTCTTGATTGTTTTTAGAAAGTGATAATAATGAAACGTGAATCTGTGTCGGCTCGTACCGCATTTTGAAGTAAAGATACGGTTTATTCTAGGGCGATTGTTAGATATGCAATATTGTTTAGCATAAGCAATAGCTTTACAGATGTGCAAATTAAGACACAATAGCAGTTGTTGTAAACGATATAGAGACTGAAACAATTGACTTCCCAAATTTTCAGTAAAATATCATTCAAACTTTCATTGTACCGTTTTTTTAAGATTTTTATTATATTCGTGCTGTTGATGTGTCGACAGCAATATTATTAACACCGTATGCAATATTGCTCCATCTATAGCAATTTTGGAAGGAAATTCCTTCGTTTCTACAGCGTTCAGTCATTTACATATTGATAGCTTCATTTTTGTTCGCCTTATTGAAGTTCAACGTACGGGTATTTCATGAAAAGATAGGAGACAGAACGTGTTTTTATCTCGGATGAAAATTAGTTTTAAAAAGTAAATCTTAGTTCGAACACATTAAAATGTAGTTTGCCATATCTTTACTTACTTTCTTTAACTACTTCTTTAATTTATTAAGTTTTGGAAGTCTTTTTTTTTAATTAAAAATCGCATAGTGGAAACGAAACTGCAAAAATTGAACCTGTACTGCCTTATAATTATCAATTGTTACCGTTTTCACTGTGTGCTTACTTAGTCGTTCCTAAAAGGAACCCGAATGCCTATCTTATTGTGATTGTCGCAGATTTTTCAAGATATCGTAGCCGTCGAGAATAATGTATGTTCGAATCTGCTGTCTGATTTAATCGAGATAATGAAAACGGGATGAGTAATATTCAATGCGAAACTGTTTCATGATGTTAAATCTCTCGTTATAATTTCTATAACACAGTAAACGAACTTCGCGCTAGGCGAAACCGCGGTCTCAAATGAGTTTTGTGTCACTTAAAATTCGTCTCCAATCTTTCAAGACCTGTTTAATTACTTAATTACTTAATTACTTTAATTACTAAATCAAAATACACCACAGTAGTTCTATTGACTACCGAAGTATCACACTATATAATCTCTCGTAGACTTAATCACATTCATAGTTCATTCATTTTTGATATCAGAAAAAGCATCAAATTGATTTTAAAATGCACATGTTAGTGATTCAAAAAACGTCCTAATGAAAACAATTCACAAAATTTTCGACTTATTTCGTTTTTGGTGCGTTTTGTTCGAAAGCTTCAACAGAAACTTACAAATCAATTCTTGGCGTTAATGTTTCTAATACAAATAAAACTATCGGCATTTTCTTGTAAATACAACAATTACAACAAACGCATTCAATACAACAAACGCAAATAATTACAGTTACAGTATTACGCAAGCGTAAAAGGGACGGGATTACTGGAAATAGATGGTAGTATATGTTCACATTCTCTTCTAGATGATTTTCCATATTTCAATGGGTTTTTAACATTATTAATGTGCATGCATTTTAGGGACAAAAACGTAGGTAAATGAAAATTCAAAATCGAATTTTTTCCCCCAACCCTGATTGAAACGCACACTTTCGTGAAGGTATTCAAAAGTATTTTTGTAATGCAAAAGAATGTCCTAGTACAACTCAGCTCATTCACTTTCACGACTGCTAATTGAAATAGTTTTTAACGTGAATTTTTTTGCCTACTTTTTAAACTTGTGGTGCGACTCTTTATACACACACTTTTGAAAATGCAATATACTATACAGACGATTGTTCAGCAGTAGTTTAAAGAGATTGACTTCGTGTCCGTCTTGAGACGAAATTTTTGAAAACTCAATCAATGTATGAATTTTTGAGATTTAGAAAATGTCCTTCTTGAAACCAATTTTGTTAGGTAGTTTTGTATTCACATCATATTTATATACTTGAACTCTATATGTATTTTTCAAAGCTGTCAATGTCAACTTGTGTAAGTTTTCGATTCGTTGATATTTAAAGTAAGCTAGTAAGCGGACCGTTTTGAAACGAATTAAAGAATAGTGTGTAATCTCTTTGCTGATTTGAATGGCAAAATGTTTTCGAAAGTAAGAGTTTTTATTTTGATTTCATTACTGAGCGTATTTCGATTGTCATTAAAAGTTTTAGAACTGCACAATACATGAACATTTCAATCGATGCAGGAGTATAAATGCATAGATAAAAGTGCAAAAACGTTGTACATTTGGAAACACATTTAATGTATCAAAATAACTTTGTAGAACTTGTTAAAAAGAATGCATTGACATTACATCATACATCTTACCCATATTATCTACACATTCGTTAGTAACTGCCAAATGTTGGAAGTACGCATTCTTTAAACAATTGCTTTAAAAAATAGAACAACATATTTCTAGATATAAAAAAATATGTTTTCGTATTTGTACCTAATCTTGGCGATGTGAAAGTTAAGGGTTTACTACAAGAACTGACCAGAAGTCCAAAAATCACTGTTTAAAATTTACTTTTGAATAATAATACCTTAATTGTTAAACATTTCTGTGTATTTATCGTTTTTGAGTTTACCTATGTAGTACTCTGTAAATCTAATATACTTTTTACGTTTTTGATTTCGAAATAAAAAGAAGAAAATTAAATGGCCAGTCTTCACAGTATACCTTCAACCTACACGTTTATATCATAAAGATTTTGAAGACGTGTCGGCACAATATTTCTTTTTTTCTTCCATAAACTGTACTAGGTTGCAAACACTTTTATTTTATAACACTTCCTTCTTATTCGTCTCTTGGGAGCCATGCACATAATCTTCAAATAATTAGGAGAGGAAATGTCCCATTAAAACGCATTCCCAACACTGTTCAAATGAACATCGCACTTCTCTGCACAGATGCACTCTTATATCTAAACAGAATTAAAGTTTCTCATCTTTATCTTATTAAAATATTCACATGTTTCCCTTCTTTCATTTCCATTCACTCATATCATATTAAACCTGAATAAGAAACATCTTTAGAGGTCTCCTTAACATACTAACTATTAGTTCACAGAACTGATGGTTGCTTTCCAAACATGCATTATGTCGACTCACAATTTCTAACACTATCCCCCACTGTTTACGTACAACACAATATCCAAGCGTGCCAAATCCTTTCAAAGCACACACTGTCACCACCACCGGCGCACAAATCGCGAGGGCACTGTCGCTATTGCACCGCCGACGACGACGCCATGGACGTGGAGGCGGTGGCGGCGGTGGCGGCGGCGCCCAGATTGTGCGTGAGGCTGTGGCGCCGCAGGTCGCAATTGCGTCGGAACACCTTCCCGCACGTGGAGCAGTTGTAGGGCTTGATGTCGGTGTGCGTGAGCAGGTGCGTCTTGAGGTTGGAGCGCTGGTTGAAGGAGCGCGCGCACACCGGGCACTTGTGCGGGGACTCGTCCATGTGCAGAGTGCGGTGCACCGCTAGAGTCCGCGACTGGCAGAAGCCCTTGCCGCAGTCGGCGCATTTGAACGGTTTCTCTTTGGAGTGGATGTACCTGCGGGAAGAGAAAAATACTACATTAAAGGCTGTTTTGTAATAGTTAATATGAAGAGCAAATATTGGCGAGAAAGTGACAGATTGAGCAACAATTTAATTTGACGGTAAATTTTAAACAACCATTTAATTCATCTGTAAAACATTCATAGATTGAATCGTGACCAATTTTAATTCATAAAATGAATAGGTCATGGATGAATTCAGTTTTTCAAACTATTCAAGAAAATAATTTTCATTAAAAAAGCTATTATTTACTTGATGCATTTCGGAATAAAATGAATTTATTTCTAGCTGTAACAGCAACAAGTAGTTTCACATATTAAACAGTTATATATTACTAATAGCATTGGAAATCGATAGAAAACTCACAATCGATAGAATAACAATTGGCGTTGGTGAGTAGTAAGTACATACAAGTACAGTGAAAAGTACGTATGTTCCTTGAGGATATGGAATATGCGGACACGGTAAGAGGGCAGAGATCAAGATCGGGCCATAGGGGTCTATAAAACCAACGTGTATTCCTTCAGTTTCGAAAAAAACCCTGATGATTTTACGTAGCCATACTTTCGTGTTAGTAGTCTGATCTTCCAGGAATGGCAGATGCATTGAATGATAATGCCGTATGATTTAGCGAGTAATAAAGACGGAATAAGGTAGACAAATGAAAGGTAAGGGAAACTAACGAACTTCAAGAAAACTTACACCCTCGAAAAATCCTCATTGTTTATAACAAAACTAAACAGTTGTGTACGGAATTTGAAGTCAGGTACTGCCATTTGAAATGTTCGTCGCTACGTCACTCGCTATATTTAGATACACCGTACTTAATTCTCAAAAGTGAGTTTTAAAAAGGTATGTTATGCAACTAATAGTTATCACACTATTTTGCTCATTGTTTTGAAGATTTAACATTATTAAACAGTTGTATACATTATTTTGTTGTACGACACTACATAATTGGGACGAATGTAAGTTAATTTTAGAGATTAGTGCAAAGATAGCTCTCCCAGTTGTTGTATTGTACGGGTTGATACGTTTTAATAAAGTTCTTCCTTATTTGTGACAAGCTACAGCTACAAATTGATTGTACTGACTGTAGATCCCCACCAGAAATGTCTGGGTAATATCATGCATTACAAGAAAAAGGAATATTACAGACAATAATGCTTCTATTCTAAAATTAGATGGAAAATAATAAAGCGAAAATTTTCTGCGTGACTATTTGTACATGTCTACACGAGTATTACGTGTAGAGCAAAGTAAGGTGCTTAATCTTAATACGTATCAGGTAACTCATGCTAGGCACAATTACATCAGGTTGAAACATTTTATGCCAATGATATGTATTTAGGTTTTTAATTTATTGGAAATTTTATTGTAACCATTAGTAAGAGGGTGAGTTTATTAACATTTTATTGTCTTTATAAGTGGCCTACAAACGCGCGTCAACAAAACACACACGCAATGATTAGTGGGAAAAAATGATTTGTCCCACAAATGGCTATTTACAAGCATTTTAGCATATAGATGCAGGTAGTTTACAATAACGGTATTCAATCAAGTATTGTTCAGACTGGCCATAAAATTGATTTTTTACGCTGAAGTGCAAACAACATGTATCTTTGATGCATAAAATAACAAACGCGCTTTTTTCTACATGACACAATGTTTACAGCACCATGCATAAATTCAATGTATTATGGTTTCCACTCTTGCAGTGTGTCAGTAAATTATTTCATTTCTAATATAATTCTGTACCTGTAATTCTGTAATAATTCATGTTATAGTAAGTAATAGCATCTGACGTTTCAAGATTCTAAGAAAAATTCAGTGTTATCATTTGCATCGTATGTTATAGTATATTACTAAGTGATCACTGCAGTTTATCTGTTATTGATACCACTTGAAATGTAGAGGTCTTCACTCTCATTCATAAAAGCCAAAAATAACAGTTTGACTGAATATGTGCGATAACATGCTTTACAAACGAATTCATTAAGTCTTTTAATTAGAATAGCGTTGGGTGATGCATTGAAGAACAATCTTTATATTTTTTTTAAATCAAACTATCAGCCTATGAATTCGAACTGCATTAATGCTCAGACATTATCCGCTTTGCGATGTTACATTTTAGTCTATTGGAGGAAATTTTATTCACATACTAAATCGACATAATGCACCATATACATAAATCGTTATCACAAAATTCTCCAATTAACGTTATATGGAGGTTGAAGTGTTCGGTATTATTTACTCTTATTACAGACGTTTTAGAGAAAGATTAACAATCGACAGATATTTTATATCAGTCCATGCATTCTGTCGCTTAAGCTAGTAGCAATAAAACTTAATATTTTGAAATTTGGCTTTGTAGAAACGTGTCAAGTCTTTCTGGTAATAACCGATATAAAGCGAATAGGCCGTCGGTCACATGTAAGTCTCTTGTCGTGTTCGGTGGTGTACTGCGTGTGAGAATGTGTGTACAAGAAGAAATGAGAACTAGGAAGACAAAGGAAAGGTCGCTCTGTCTGTTGTCCGTTTATTAAGTGTCTGCTCCGTGATTCGCCTGGTACTGATCGGAGAATCCCCGGCAAACTACCAATCGGAGCAGCCGCACGGCAGACGAATTCTCCTACAGAGAGCAACTGAATCCGACATAATTACGGAGCTAGCAGCAAAAATCCGCCACCTTCGAGACACGAATCGCAGAACCTCCTGGTCAGTGGCACTGAAGTCACATCAGTTGATGCCCTAAGCCAACTCAGACGGTAGTTGCAAAGACCGTTCGGCAGCCCCGCCTGGGTAATGCCCTTTATGACGGGGTGGGTTGGAGTGCAAAGTACTTCCCGTGGGTACTCAACTCAGGATTGGTGGAGATGATAGCTTGATGATAGGCTGATTGGCGCGATCCACGACCCGTTACGTACGGTAATATTTTGGCATTCGCCTAGAAGTGATCAGGAAATCTCCTGATAGGAACACTCGGCCTGAGAATTTGATTCGGCTGGCGCCAACCACAAGCAGTGGAAAACATCCGCCACCACCGACTCGAACTGTAGGACCGCTCGATCAGTGGCACTGCAGTGACATCAATTGATGCTCTGAGCCACTTCAGACGGTAGTTGCAATATTTCGAACGGTAATATTTCGAACGGTAATATTTCGAACGGTAATATTTCGAACGGTAATATTTC